GATTTCTTTGCCGCTGCCCGTAATTTCTCTCACCCTGTAGTTTGCTCGTTTTTCATTCTTTCTTCGGAAAGACCGCATCTACCAAAACAGTGTCAGAGAGCGTCTTTGGCACTAATGAGGACACATAACGACACTGCCATGGAGAGCAGTCCAACATTCAAAGTACAAACAAAAAAACCTAAACAAAATCAAAAAGTGGGTAAAAACACCGTTACTGCAGTCAAATAGCGACTAAAAGCAAAATATACAATAAAACCTAAATTAGAGTAAATAATATGAACTTACCTCGCTTTTCTGGCGTTCAGGAAGCAGAATAACAGCTCAGATAAAAAATAAATCGCTGGAATCAGCTGATTGCGCGGTGCAGCCGGCTATTGCGGGCAGAGCGCAGAGAAGAAGAGTACGTGAGAGGCGCGGTTTCGTGGAGAGGGCGCAGAGAGCAAAGGACCGCCGTGATTGCTGCCCCGTGCAGCAACGGCCGCCACCCCTATTACAGCCGTCATCGCGTCGCTGTGAAGTCCGCAATTCCGCCTACCGTCTGAGGGATCGCGACTGTAACTCTGCACGAGGGTGACATGGAAGGCGATCCAATATGAACTGCGCCCGGCAGTGACATAAATCTTATCTTTTTCAGGTAGCCGCTGCAATGGAAGCACAAGCTGCAGGGTATCAATACCCTCCTTACCCGGTACGATTTTTTTTCTCTTTAATACTCACTTTATGAGGACCTAGTAGCGACCAGACCTCAGAACAGCTGAGTGCGGTCCTCCAGATGAAAAACGTTTCTGTTATTTGAAGTAAAACACTGATGCAATCTTGAAAGTTACATTGGTGCCGGCATATAGCCAGGGTTATGCCTGCCACTGTGCTTCCGTCATTGCTTCTCGAATCCCTTCTCGAACAGTAAATTTTAGGGTTGCCCGGCTAGCTGAACGTAGAGCATTCAACTGAAGGTGTTCGTATCTACTAGCTTACAAACCATGCCGCCTACATTTCCCCGCAAAGGATTCGGCTACCTTAAAGTCTGAGGGCGCGTTCAAAAATGATGATTAAGTTCATATAGCAATAATAGCAAGGTAGCAAATAATTCCATTGTTAAGAGAAAACCAGAAAAATATGTTGAGCGCCTTATACAGCCTCAGGCCGAACTGAGGTTGTGCAGGTCGGGGTCACACAAATCTCACTTGTTGGTATCAGCTATTTTCCCTTATCACCTCACTCTCACCATTCGAAGTGGAAGAGGCTTAGCCGCACCATCAGGCAACCATTCAAAGTGAACGTTGGGCGCTTGTAGCTGCCAGGCGGGCGGGGCAGCAGCCTCTTCATGAAGGGGCGGCGCTTACCCGCTTCAGCAACTAGTGGAGAGTGGCTCGCGAATCCCCAGTCCCACTGACATCCCCATCATCGCTTCAACGGAAAAGACTAAGGGATCAGTAGGATGAAGGAAGTTCCCTTATCTTGCACCTTTTATTCCAACCAAATTGGGGCGTAACAGCGCTAAGATTAGAGGCACCCTTCTCGCGCAAAAGGCGCTTTCCAAAAGAAAACAGGAAGAGGGAAGAAAACCAAGAAACAAGGAATTCTTGACGATTACCTGGAAAGAGTATGACGATAGGGTTCGGGATAACGTCGGTACTGAAAAGAAGTAACACTTCATTGAAGAATCTTACACATCTTAGAAATTGTGGTCACTATCACTAAAAACAGCAAGATTAGTAGCTGCTGCGAAGACCTATAAATGTCTGTAGGGATATCTGCGTCCAGGCAGCGTTCATAGTTCGCGATGACAGACGTCGCGCTCCAGTGCTATGGAAGAAAACAGCCATGGACGGGTATCAATCGGCGCTGAGCTCTGGTGTTTTGAGAGTCTACAGAAGTATAGGAGGGTGCCAGACTGTGTGGTCAGACTTCTTAGGTTCCTTTTCT